TGGGAGTTGAACTGTACTAATAAATAATATGACTTTCTGGTAGACGGGGGTTGGGCAGCTTGAAGTGCTTCTAAAAAGATAAAAAGTAACATAAATGTTTCTAGATAAAGCGTCAGCAGCAGAATTAAGAATACCAGCAATGTGTTCACTTTGAACATGATATTGTTTAAGATACATTTTAATATATAGGAAGTAAGAGTTGCATGGACGTTTGATTGCTGGTAGAAAATTTATTTCGGTATGTTCACTACTGCTTCATTGTCAGAATGCAGGATAACTGTGTGTCCAGACATAAGTTTTGCCTATGCAAGTATAGCAGTAACAATAGGATATAATTCAAGAATATTGATGTCCAATTCTTTCCATTCTGATGGCCATTCCCCTTTAAACCAAAGATTATTGCAAACGGCTCCATAGCCTATCGTAGTAGAAGCATCGGTAAAAGATGCAAATGTTCTCTTGTCTCTTGTACTTCTGTAAGGAAAATAGATTTCCCATTAAAGGGAATTAGAAACTATTTCCACAATAATAAATCCTGCATAGATGGAGTGTTGATTAAGATTTTATAATGTAGCTCCTTCATTTTTAGATAGATGAATAAATAATGAAATAAATGATCTACCGAAAGGAATCACACAACAACAGTAGCTAAGGAATCCTATAGCAGATAAAAGTTCTCTTTGAGACTTTCTTTGGTTTTGGCTTAATGGTAAAGGGGTTGATGTTACATAAAGTGTCAATGATTGTTTTGCCATTTCCATGAGCAAACAAGCTTCTAATAGTCTTACACAAGAAGCAACCTTTTCCTAAATGTTTTATAATATCTATGGCTTGTTGTACGGTTGCATATTTAACTGTAGAAGTTTCGTCTGGGATAGTATCATTATGGGTTGGCCTCTGGGATGTGATAAGTTGTGAATAACACAGAATTCACCTGGAGATTTTTAGGAACGAGAAATAAGGGTGAAATAATATCAAATGGTGGCTGGTCAAAAGGTCCAAGTATTCTACTAGCTTCAAGCTCTTTGTTTAATTTTTTGAGAGCTTCTGGGTTCTTAGATATGATGACAAATTATCATGAGTAATGTTGTAATGTTCTGGCAAATCAGAGTGAGGAAATTTAAATCCGTACTAGAAACCATGAACTGTTTCTTCTTGATGTTCATAGCCTTCAAGCCAATATCTGAGTCTTTCAGGTTTAACTGGAGTAACAACTTGTGTTGACATAAGTTCACTCGAAGGGTTTTTTGGAGTCTCCAGTACCTGAGCGCTTTTTGTTGGGGAATTGGGCTTGCCTGCCGTTGTTGCGGGAGTAACATTTTGCAAGTTGGGCAGGTGTGGTTAAAGGGACAAGGGGATATATATTTCAAGAGGTGAGGGGTTTGATCATGAAATCTTTGGGTATAGACAGCAATAAATATACTGAATGCTCGGACCCATTCTGGAAATGAAAGGATTTTCCCTTCTTTGAAGGGTTTAAATTCAAATGTTTTGATTCAAAAGAATTGTCAGATTACATCTCACAGAGGACATAATCATTGTTTTTGTCTTCTTCAATACAATCATGAATCAATACATGAATACCAAAATATAAGAATATGATAGAAATGAGTTAAAGTAAATCCGCAAAATCTGAAATATGGACAAATTAATGTAATGTAATATGTTGAAAACTGGGAATTGGATTTATTGAAGCTACTGACACCTGTCCTTGTAGCATGGCATTTGTGTTGGGAATTAATCCATAAGCTGTAGAGACGGGTTGGGAATTATGAAAAGCTGAAAGGTTAGTAGAGACTGGAGGGATGAAAGGGTAGGGTTGGATATTAGCGCTTGATGCAAAAGATGGAATAGGGCGAGTAATAGATGCTGTGGGTCTATTTAGAGAGAATGAAATGTTGGGTTGGAATGGAAGATGTAGTGGAATAAGAAGGGAAAGGGGATAAGGGAAAAGTTGTTGTAAAGTTGCCCCTTATTAAAGTGGGCATAGACTTGGCTGCAGTCAGGGTATAAGAAGTGTGATACTCTTCAATAGTAATACTTGGGTTAGGTCCTTCAGTTTCAGACATTTGCAGTGAAATAATTAGTAGTTATATAGAGGGTAAGCAACTTCAAGACATAGAAACATTTAGATAAATATAAATAGAAGCACATGCTCCATGTTAGATGTATATAAATATGATGCCCATAAGGCTAATCATAATAAATATGATTTAGAATACACTGCATAAATAAATGCATATGATATATAAAGATTATGAATTATCATAATATAAATATGATGCCCATAAGGCTAATCATAATAAATATGATTTAGAATACACTGCATAAATAAATGCATATGATATATAAAGATTATGAATTATCATAATATAAATATGATGCCCATAAGGCTAATCATAATAAATATGATTTAGAATACACTGCATAAATAAATGCATATGATATATAAAAATTGAATTATCATAATATAAATATGATAACACTTAAGAATAAAGGTAAAGTATACAATGCATGAATAAATGCATATGATATATAAAATAATATGAATTATCATAATATAAATATGATAACCTTTAAGAATAAAGGTAAAGCATACAATGCATGAATATGAAATATAAAATAATATGAATTTTATCATAATATAAATATGATAACATATCATGTCTAAAGGTATAGTATACACTGCATGAATAAATGCAGATGATATACAAAATAATATATATTTATCATAATATAAATATGATAAAATATAAGTAAACAGGAAACTAAATTTCCTAATATAAGTATAGTACTTATGAAGGATAACTAAGTGAATAAACTATTGTGAAAAGTTAACGACTCTCTGGCTTATGTTTGGTTAGAGAAGAGTAGCCGTCTCTTCTAATGTTAAGTCTAATTATTATTACCTAATAAATGTAATCAAGAAAACTCAGGACTGCGCCTTTCCAGGACTTGACGAAACGCTTTTCCCCTTTGCATTGAGATGTATGGGATCGTAGGAGTCAACTATCAAATTTGACCATTGATTCTATATTGGGTGGTATGTGGGTGATGTAGGAACAAAAGTCTATTGCCCTTATGATGATGAATATCATTTAACAATTTGAAATTGGTAGATAAAATATTGAATTATATTGAATGCCTTCTGAAGCAGTATTGATCGAGGATTTGAAAGGATGCCATGAGCGTTGAAATAGTTCTCCAATATAAAAGGCTTTTAATGAAGGATGTATATCTAAATATTGTTCAGCCAAAGTGATGAGATTTTTTGCAACAAAGGTAGATGATCTATGAACCAGATCATTTTCTCCTAGCTGTAATATAGCCATATCTGGATAGGGATTTTTATATTTTACATCATCTGAAATTGTTTAATTGTATATACAATGATGGTATTATAGTTAACTATGTCTTCCTTTAATTTAAAGTCAAAATGGTTAGATTCTTCTATTTTCCGAACAAAACTGTGGCCTATAATGCTGACCCTAATAACATTAGGCATCTCTAATTGTCTTGTATAATGGGAGAAGAAAGGTAAGGATATTATTGACTCCTGTCTTATCCTCAGAGTAAAGTTTATTATGTGCAATAAGGTGTCAGAAATATAGAAGAAAAGGAATAATTATAGCTCTCTCAAGAGATAAATATATATCAAATAATAAAATGATATCTGTACCTTAATGGTACTATGAATAATCCCAATAACAACCAGAAATCTCTGGAATGGGATAATACAATAGAATAGATATATTTATTTAATAGCCTACAAGGTTACTTACACTCGTAAATAAATGAAATATCTATTATTAGATTGGATGGAGTCTATTGAACGTAACTTGAGGACATGTATGTGACTTACTTAGGTCCAAACCTTCTCTATATTCCGGCTTTGAGTAGAAAGATTAGCTGCCTTGGTGTTGTAAATATTGTAAATCAATGTGTCACACACACAGGAAATACGGCATAATAATATGAAATATATCTTTATGTATAGATTTGAGAAACAACAGCACACATCTCCGTCTGAATCTATTGTTATATTTGATTTCTTTAAGCGAGAATAATTTCAAAGTTTCCTACATTATTGACGTCTGGAACCGGAAGCCATTTTTAGCTACAGCGAGAAAATGTAACCATGTGTCAAACTCCGAAAAGAAATTTTGAAATATCTAAAACCAGACAAGCAACGCTTCATCCTAAATATAATTAATATAAAATGATTTCTAGGTGCGTGTAGCAATTTTTACATACGAAATACGAGTACATACGAAATAAATGAAGTTACATCTAGCTGTAAGGTAGAAACTCGAGTAATATGTGACGTGTCCATATTCATCAATAAATTAATTCTTTTGTATAAATTCAAGTTGTAAACCATATGAACGAGATATCAATTGAATACTTCAAACATAAAACTACAAAGTCATAAAGACAAAAGATAAAACGTGTTTGAAATTTTTTTTTTTTTTTTTTGAACTTTTTTAAACTGACGTTTTTTGTGTGAAATATTACGATAAAATTTTCACAAAACGATTCAGCGATAGATAAATGTATATACAAGAGATAAATGTCGATAAAAAGAATCGAAATGTATAACTTACATTGATGTTAATGGATTTTGTACGCACCTAGGGAGAAAACCCTCCAACTACAATCCTATCGATATCTCGTCTAAAGTCTCATCTCGTACTCTCGAGATCTGAAGCTTGATGTTTCGTTCAGTGTAACTTACCAGAAACATTTACCTGGGATAACCGGGGAATGGTCTTCTTAGGGCTTGTTCATACCTAAACCTTAACCGACTCTCACATTGCCATAAATGAAATTATTGTCAATAATTTGAATAAAGGGGTGTTAGGTCAGTTGACCTAGAGGGATTCAGGTTATCCTGTTGTTTTTGGACTTGCCCATTTTTCCAAATTAGGGGTATTAGCATATGTCATGGAATAGGTTGGATTGTATGTAATTAGAATAAATAGAAATGAAATATATTTTAGGGTGCACCTCTAGGAGTGATAATAGGTGTTCCCATTGCAGTTGTACTTATATTGATCATCCTTGGGGTACTCCTACTTGTTAAGTCTAAACACACAAGTAAGTTGATCAATTAAAATTGTAAATTCATAATTGACCTTTCTTATAAATGCTGAACTAGAGTCCATTTCACTGTTTAACTTCGTCAGTAAAAGCTAAAAAATAAGAAATCAAAATATCATTTTGCAATAATATATAGAAAAATATATTCCTATTGTACATGAATGACATTTGTATATCTTGGATTGCTTCTAGTTTAGCTTATGAAGTGTGTGGCCTCTTATATTTGGATGCTTCTCTGCCATGTTATTTTCAATAAGATTAACATGGCTGAAATTTTTCAAATTACAAGACGGCACAGGCTTATTGCACAAAAAACTAAAAAATCTGAAATATACAAATGTCATTCATGTACAATATGAATATACTTTTCCATATATTATTGCACAATGGTCTCCCAATTTCTTATTTTTGCCGTTCTACTGACGAAATGAAGCAGTGAAATGGACTCTAGCTGTTGTGCAAGACCAAAGAAACTAGGGTTTATTTATTTATGGAAGAAATAATGTTTTTTTTGTTATGGTAGATAATAATCCAAGTTATTTCTTAGCATCCTTCTTCAAGAAAGAAATATTGATGAACAAATAAAACCTTATATTACTCCGACCTATGTTATTTTATTAGCTCACATGGTGAGCTATTGCAATCACTCACTTGTCCGTCTGTCTGTCTGTCAACAATTGGCCAGTTTTAAAACCTCTGTCAATAGGATTCCTGTTTTAAGTTATTATTAATTCAGAAAACTCCCCTATGACTCCTGGCTCAAAAGCTCGCCTATTTTCAAAATGGCCACCATTTTTGTCTCACAAAATTCACTTTTGGCCCATTTCCTAGCTTTACAAATAATTTCAGGTGTCCTGCATTGTAAAAAGCCATGTCACTGTAAAGAGTAGTTGTATGAAATAATTTTGTTACAAAAAATTGGCAAAACATTTAATTTTTCCTGTTATTCAAATTATTTTTGTTCAACATCAATACAGAAAACTCCCCTATGACTCCTGGTTCAAAAGCTCACCTATTTTCAAAATGGTCGCCATTTTTGTCTTGCTTAATTCACTTATGACCCATTTTCTAGCTTTACCAATAATTTCAGGCATTGTAAAAAGCCCCCTTATACAAATTTACTGGCTGTCACAGCGCTCTCACAGCCCGCTGTCACAGCGCTCTCACAGCCCGCTGTCACAGCGCTCTCACAGCCCGCTGTCACAGCGCTCTCACAGCCCGCTGTCACAGCGCTGCGACAGCGCTCTCACAGCGCTGCGACAGTGCTCTCACAGCGCTGTGACAGCCCATCGGAATGTACCATGCAAATGAGGCTGCGACAGCGCTCTCACAGCATTGCCATATATGGCATTGATTATGCATCCTTCCTTCCTACACATAAATTTTAGTTACCTATAGCAACAAGACAAGAAGATAAGGGTAGATATCAGAAAACATTTAGCTACCCAGACCCTGCATTTCCATCCAACTGATGACTATATATTTGCACCCTAGATCAAGTTTGCATTTAATTAGAAACTTACTTTATGGATTAAAGCCAGCTTATATATCTACACTCCTTATTTGGTTTTTGGCTTGAATTCCATTGTTCAGTTTGAAAGATAGCTGTTATTGTACATGTACATGCAAATTGCCCCAATTGTATCAATTTTATCCTTTATGATGCACTATATGTGCATGCTAATACATTGATATTCCATACCTTTAGTTTAACCATGCAGTATGTACTAACTTGCACAAAATTCATTTCATTTGATCCTTTTTCTTAGATCACTAGAACATTCCAAAGGTATCTATAAATAATCAGTAGTACAATACCTTACATATGCTTTGTAAATTAGTAATGATATGATGGCCATTTCAGCATAACTCCTTTGTTCTTTCCTCCTACAAAATTCCTGCTCTAACTGATTTTTAGTTTGAATTTTTTAACCCACAATGCATTGGTACTTCCTGCTGTGAGAGGGCTGTGAGAGTGCTGTGAGAGCGCTGCCACAAACTGTGGCTAAGAGAGCATGTTGCTGTAATTGATTCAGCCACTTAATTACTGTCACATCCCTCTCGCAGCGATGGATGGAAATAGAATGCTGTGACAGCGCTCTCACAGCGTTCTCGCAGCGTATGGATGTGAGAGGATTGTTGCTGAAATTGATCCAGCCATCATTTTAAGCCTATATGCTGTCACAGCGCTGCGACAGCGCTGTCACAGCGCTGTCGCAGCAATTATTTTCCGTAAGGGCCATGTCACTGTTAAGAGTAGTTGTATGAAATAATTTTGTTACAAAAATTGGCAAAAATTACATGTTCATCCATTTTTTTTATTTTTTATTTTTTACTTTGGCCTAAGTTATCTTTATTATTTGTTCAACAAAAAACTTTATAACTCTGGCCTAACTTACTTTTATTGTTTGAGATATGACAGCTTCCCCTCAGGACTGACAAGTAATAATAATTCAAAAAAACAAAGTGAAACTACTACATGTATAATAACATATTTATCATAACTCTCTGGACGTACCTCTTTCCAAAACACAGATACATGCAGATGAAAGGATGGCTTTATTAGACAAGATCAAAGGATCAATGAAAAACACATTCACAATTAATATAATGTTTTGGCTTTTATTAATTTGGATATCTTGGAATTCTTTTTTTTACTTCACAATAATGGGGAGATCATTTTCAAATTATTGTATAGCAAATAATTCAGAAGACGATATCCAATTGAAGAAACTTTCAACTTTAAATATCTCAAAAATGACATTCAACAAATTATCATCTACAACACAAGAGAAACATACAACTCTGAATTTCAATTCTCAGATAAATAGAAATTTGGAGGTTGGAACTGATCAAATGCAACAAAGAAGAGACAGAATTAGATCCATTTGCGCTAAACTACCAGCGAGGTCTTACATAGGGAGCAATGTGTATATAGATAGGGAGCATAAGTTGCTGTATTGTTACACACCAAAAGTTGCAAGTACAACATGGCGACTGATTTTGACTGCTAATCACTATAATGTAAACACCAGTGACGTTACTGAGGATATGACTGGGCCAGTTTGGGGGAAATGGTATGCTGGGAAGATTCTAGGCTCATTTACAATGACGGGTAAAACTTACGATGAAATGAGGACAATGCAAAAAGATTTGTTTAAGTTCATGTTTGTCCGGGATCCTATTGAGCGACTACCATCAGCATGGCGTTCGAAGATTATAGAACAGAATACTGATCATTACAGAAGAAATTATGGATCAAAAATGATAGAAAAATATCGAGAAAATCCTAATCCTATTGATATCATTCAAGGATATGCAACATTTGAAGAGTTTGTGAAATATGTTACCGATGACCATAATAAAGGAGACGAACATTGGGAAGCATATAGTGATCTATGTAACCCCTGTCTAATCAATTATGATGTCATAGGTGACTATAAAACACTTTATGATGATGCCAAGCTAACATTTCAGCTGGCTAATCTGACTAGATTTGATTTTCCTGTAAAGAACTCTGAAACATCAGCTAATATTAAGGGTTACTATACCAACCTCACATCAGCTACAATAGAAAAGATTTATGACAAATATGCCTTGGATTATGAGATGTTTGGATTTGAGAAGTGGCTCAGCCATTGAAAAATAATGGACTTTCTTTGTTGATTAATGTTGTGTTATCACTTTCAACAAAATGACTTGTGTATTTTGAATGACCTTTGTAGTGTCTGACTGTAACAGATTCTTGTTGACAGGCATTTCTCTTTAACCTGCATGCCAATGGACCTTTTGAAAACTTTTTGAACAACATAGATATTAACTTGCAATCACCTAAAAATCTTATCTCAAAAATGAATGAGTGACTTTCACTGAAATATGTGATATTGAAATTTAAGGTGACATACTTGTAGTAAATATGTAATAAAGTAATAATTTGTAGTTTTGAAAGGTGTTTGTGTTTATGTCCCAAAAGATTACATTGTAGAATTGCTATCGGATATTTTCTGGTATAAGTCATTATCACATGGTTAGGTGTTTCTAAGCATTTTGATTGGTCAATTGTGACAACGTATATATCGTATCACTAATTTTCATGTGATATGGTGGGCTGTATTACTACGGAGTCAATAGTAACGATATGACATCACTGGTTATATAACTTCATAGCTAAAGAAAACAGTATGAAAACAGTATGAAAATAGTATGACGTCATATTGTACGAATACAACAGTATGACGTCATATTATTTCAAAGCGAACTTTCAAAACACACAAAATTATAATAGTTACTGGGAGTACAGAGTACTGAACACAATCATAATGACCAAATCAAAATGCTTCAATTCAACATTCCAAGACATGTGATAAAATCCCATCACACTTTTCAGCTTATGTGATACAGGAAATATTCCACTCGGGTAAGAATGTATCACCACTCAAGCTTCGCTTTCTTGGATGTTACAATATTACCTTTCGTGGAATATTTCCTGTATCACATGCTGAAACGTGTGATAACTGATAGTATCACATACTTTAGTGAGGGCAATAAGAAAAATGGGAGCTGGAAAAATTAAAGCAAAAACCCTGGTGGCTAAGATATTGAATTAATCCTCCCCATGTAGATAATCAAGAGTTGACTAGGAAACAATACATACACCTATTATGTATAAATATATTTGCATCCACATGTATTACGTAACTGGGTTTTCAGAGAAAAATCAAGTGTCTGATAGCAACAGCCATATACCTCCTGACATTCCCCTAGAGCAGATGACGCCAGTGGAGGAGACCACAACCCCACAGATCAGAGCACATGAACTTAAGCCTCCAGTCAGAGTTGAGATTGTTGAGGCTATGGGGCCCTCGGCGTCTGCTGCTGCTGATGTGGACCTCTTACCAGCTATACAAACTGTCAGGCCCAAGACAGCAATGGTCAATAGAACTCTGCCTAATGAGGTCATGATGACCCCAACACCTCCAAAGGTCTCCGGTGAGTACCAATCAAGTATTCTTAAGTAAATTCTTAGTTATGCACATTTTAAAAAGTGTGTGAACAATGTTAAGTATGTTATGACCATATAATAATAGCACCAGACCCATTTTGATCCCCTTGTGCAGATCGGATGTAATGTTTTATCATTCATTTAAATCCCCCCACCTATTGATGTGGTTCTTTCATCTTAATTCCATGATCTTACAGATGCTAAGATTAGAAAGCCGATCTATAGGATGAACACTGAGAGATCTTTCACTCCTGTGACAAACATCAAGGTTGGACCCTACACCACACTAGATAACCTTCGCAGACAGATACGTCCTCAGATGGAGAAGAATTTTGGTATGCTATATTCTCTTGGTTTTAGGTTACTAAGGTGTACAACCTTTAAAGGGTTCCTATAAGCTACCCGTATAAAAACAATATGGCGGCTTCAGGCGAGTCAACTGGATCAGTCCATTTTCAAGAATAAGGGGAGTTTTGTAAAATCCAGTTTATTGAAATTGTCTTGGAGATAAAGTGATCCGTTTATAATGATTCTGATAACATTATTGAGAGAGTGATTGTTCAAAGATTGTTCATAGAACTGCTTTGTTTCATTTGGAGGATATTTCATATACATGTACCAAGCTGTGTACTAAGTAATGGGGAAATTTAGATGTCAAATTTTCATTATTATACACAAATAGAAGATCCTGAAACTTTACCCATAAATGTGAAATTGATTTGTCAAAATAAAAATCACTCTTTTATAAATGTGTGACGATCTATAATATACTAATGTATATAACAGATAGAGGTGTTGACACAACAACCTCGAGCCTGTGAACACTTGAGTATTATTCCAAAGCCTCTTTGATGTCTTTGTAATGATTACAGTGAACAAGCATATGTGAAATAATAAAAACGTCTTCTCAGGAAGAGTTTGAAAATTTCAAGATTGTGAAATTTTCAATTTTTTCTGAAAATCGATTAAGTTAACAGTCAGTCACCAGGTCACCTTAACATTGATTTGTCCATCTGTCTCGCAAAATCCACTTTTGGACCATTTGCCTTAAACTCTCTGTCAATAGGATTCCCGTTTTAAGTTAATTTTGTTCAACATCAATACAAAAAACTCTCCTATGACTCTTGGCTCAAAAGCTCGCCTATTTTCAAAATGGTCGCCATTTTTGTTTCGCGAAATTCACTTTTTGCCCATTTCCTAGCTTTACAAATAATTTCAGCTGTCCTGCATTGTAAAAAGCCATGTCACTGTAAAGAGTAGTTGTATGAAATAATTTTGTTACAAAAAATCGCCAAAATATTATATCCGTTTTTTTATTTTCACCCATTTTAGCTAACATTGATCTGTCCATCTGTCTCGCGAAATCCTCTTTTGGACCATTTGCTAACCTCTGTCGATAGGATTCCAGTTTCAAGTTATTTTTGTTCAACATCAATACAAAAAACTCCCCTATCACTCCTGGTTCAAAAGCCATTTCCTAGCTTTACAAATAATTTCAGGGGTCTTGCATTGCAAAAAGCCATGTCACCGTAAAGGGTAGTTGTATGAAATAATTTTGTTACAAATAATTGGCAAAAAAATTATATCCGTTTTTTTTCAGCCATTTAACTTAAAATCGATTTGTCCATCTGTCTCTCAGTCGGTCCAAAATAGTGGCAAGTGGCTTGATATAATTTTGTCATGGCGTTTGGGGTCACACAGGCTTGTAGTTAGACTTACTATTTATTCATTTTCTAAAAATTATAAATTATTTCCAATTCAGGAAAGATGTCTGCATATGTTTTCCTGAACACCAAGCTTACCCCTGTCACCCCTCATGAGGAGAAAGAAGACACAGTCCTGGATACATATGGAAGAGAAGCTGTGCTACTTAGAACTCTCAAGGACACTGGTGAATATTGACTTATTATGCATTTTTACATCATCTTAGATTCCAAATGTTAATGGTATTTGTTGAAGAACAAAGTTGATTGTGTTTGGGGATGGACGTATATGATAGCTTTGAAAGGTTGATATGGAGTTCAACACATTAAAGATTATTGTATTTCAAAAAAATTATTATGTGTATGCTTTCAAATTGCAGATGTGGGGATGTTCTATTGTATCTGTGGAAGTGTTGCCTCTCTACCGTGTGTTCTCTGTAACAGTGTCAAGTACTGCAGTCCTGCCTGCCAATCTATTGACTACACCTCCCATCAAACACAATGCAAGTCCATACAGGATGACACAAGCTCAAACGAGCACATTTGTTAAATAGACAATTGATTCATTTACAGAACAATAATAATATGTCAATCTATAGATATTAGGTAATAATGGTCTAACATAATTTGTACTGTGACTCTCTTGATGCTTAAGAGTAAAGCCACTTTCCTGTGTGATGTCTGTCTGTCTTGCATGGTGTATAGAGTTCCTTGACTGGTGACTGCCTACATAGTATGTTTTCCAAACTTTTTGTGTAATTGATAGACATATGTGATATAAGTATCACATTAACAGTAGGTATTATTAACGGGTTGATAATGAGACAATGAATATGTGCCAATATGAAAATAATTATACTTAATTTTTTAGTGTATTTTAACAAAATGTATTATTTCATTGATATTAACAATTCATATCCGTCCAAAGTTCATGGATCATGAGATGTCTCCTGTATTACTATAAGTGCCAAAATGATACATCTAGTTACCATGACAATTCTGCTATAAATAATGAATATATAGTTTTTAATTTTGTATGAAATTTTATTTTTATATTTCTGTATCTTCTAGGAGCATGCAATAAAATATAAAAACAAATTAATTCTTTTATGTTTCTTCCATAATAGTTTTTGTTAATAACCCGTTTAGAGGCATACATGTAGCTATGCTCATTTTCCAATGTACAGTACGGAGATGGTTTTCCAGGTTTTAAATTAAGAGGGGCACCTTGATTGAAAGAAACCAGGTGACATGTTCCCCAAGTAAAAATTAATGCAGTGTAATTTACTTGAACCTTAATTTATGTTCACCAACTAAATTAAAATTTGAAAATAGTGGAATCAATATGTACAACAGGAAATAGTTACAGAGCGCACAAAATGAACGGAGGGGGGTGACTATAGAGAGGTTTCGCGGGTTATAGCTAAAACGTATCAGTATCCGCAACCACATTTATTTTAATTAAACTTCTACACATAAATATGGTGAATGAGTTACGGATTTTAGATACGTTGAGCCAAAACTGTTGTGCGAAACCTCTCTAATAACGTCTCTTGTATTTATTACAGGTACATGATGTGAAATTCGGATAAATTCAAATGCCCGGATGTGGGTCAATTTTGGAACTGATTTCAATTCGTCAACTATTATAGTGAGTTATCGTCACAAGTGTGAAAAGTGTGAATATTTAAAAAAAAATATATTGCTTTAGATAATTACAAGAACTTTCAGTCTTCCACACTAAGATCAATCCCCACATAGATTATCTGACAAGGACAACTTTTCTTTTAACTTTTCACACATGAATAATAAAACATCTTTATCTGTAATAACATCCACTAACGTTTCTAGATAAACCTGGGTAGATCTGAATGGCTTTTTCTGACAACTGCAAGTAGAATCACATTTAATTCCACTTTTATCACCACCTAGTTCAACTCCTATTTCTTCAAGATAATTCTCAAATTTAGTGGGATTTATTGGAAGCATTTTATGGTTGTATTCTTTGACTACTTCTTCAATGTGCATATTGTGTAATACATGGTCGTTATCATATAATAATGCACAGTGTTTGTCCAAATGTTCAGAAACTCCACTCACATTTACATCATTTCTTCCACCATCAAGTTTCTGTCTTTTATATGGTGATACATCACTACTGCCCTCTATTTGAGACACATTTTTACCTGTTGTAAGGATAGAAGAGCATTGTCCATGAACATCAGAGGGAAGAAAGGGTTCAGGAGATTTACTTGAGACACATTTATCATGTTTAGTCCTTGGTTCAGATTGCTGTATTTCTGTACTTGGTGGAGAACTTTCTGTAGTTCTTGTTACATTTGCTACTATCTCGGAGTGAGAATGTAACTCAGTTGGGTCTCTGTTCATATTCTGCAGTGCTACCATCAGTAGTTGTAGGTTTTCTTGTTGCGTTGTTTTAGTCTGAAAATAAATATAAATTATTCTTATTCACATGTGAAGATTTTATCATATCCTAAAAGATAAAACCCATATCTCAACAATTAGATGGTTTATTATCCCATGGTATCAGGATATCACATGTAATAGTGAAACAAAAATAAATGAAAAGGAAAGTGCCTATGGAGCATCATAGCTTGAATTTAGCATATGTTTCATCAAACAACTTCCAACACATGTTGGAACAATCATTATAAAGATGTGTCGTCGTAGGAAAATAATGCACTATGGAAGTGTCATCATAAAAAACAGATAATAATAATTCATGAAAAAAGACATTCCATCATACAGAAATAGAAAAAATATCTATGCCAGATGATCCAAAGATTGGCAGTCCACAGTTTGAACTGATAAAACATATCCCTGCAACTTTTTAAATACTTCTTTTTTGTATATTTTCTGTGCATACAAACTATTTGTATTATAATTACCTCTGAAGGAGTTAACCAAGAGTCCTTCAATTTTTCAGCACCATCGTTATCCTTGAGGCTCTTTGAGCTGTACAATTCAGTGCACTGCTTATCCTGTTGCTCCATCAGAGAGAATACCAGAGTCCTTGTAATTGCCTCAGTGAGGTGGTCTATATCATCAGATCTTAGATCAATCCACATATTCACAGATATACTTGGGGAGAGGGACTCGACATAGTGCCACCAGTGCTTGGGTACAAATAAGACATCCCCAGGCTCTAAGATCACAATGTGTGGTGTAGTATCCTAGAATATGACATAAACGTTCTATAACAATGTTTTATATAAATATTTCCCTATACTGAAACACAATACATGTAAATATTTTTAAACTTGTTTCAATTTAAAAAACTCCACTAAACTGACAATTAACCTTCTCTAAAAGGGTCTTACTTACTTTTATCCTCTGATAGCGTTCAAAGTTTGGATTTCTGATATTGACTTGACTGAATACACTGGACTCTTCATATGGGAGTCTCGTAGGGTAGAGTTTGTCACTGTCTGTGGGTGGGAACATGATCCATCTCTTTCTATAAGACAAATACAGGGTGTTACATATATAGTTTCCACCATTAAGGTTGAGTAAAGTTGTTGGAGGGTATAAGGCAGGATAAAACATTTCTCTTGTATCAAATTTTTGTTAAATAAAAACTAAAAAACATCCTAGCATATATTCAATTACTACTTTGCCATTTAAAACATACCTGCCCTCTATCTGTGCTACAAGATTACACCCATATGTGTCATAATGACATGGCGTATTTGCCCCCTTGCTACCAATCCATATGGTACTGTCAGCACCATTTCTATTGGGAAACCCAAATGTATTCCAGTTGACACTCTGAAATAAGAAACTACAAATTTATTTTTAACATTATGACTGAATGAATTTAATTAAATGGATGTTTTTTTGCATATATTTTTCATTTTCATATTTGGCAAAATGTAACCACATGCCATTTGCCACAGACTCAACCACTGAATACCAGACACCATCCACAAAAAAGTTATAACAATATGTCACGACTTCATGTAGTGACATAACAATATTACTGACAATTACCCTGAGCTTTAATCTAAGAGTGTTCTAGATGTCACCTAAAATTCAAGAATATGGAAACGTAAATCAAAAATAGCAGAGACCTTAAATACCATTCTGTAATAACAGAGATCAGTTACGTACTTCCAAGATGTTATCATTCTCATGAAATATTTGCTGCATGTACATGTAGTCTGCATAGCACCACTGGGTCTCTCTGTCCACAGCACTAAGCGGGTTGGAGTCTGTTGTCTGTCTCAACCAGTTATCATAGTCACTTAGGGTAGCTTCAATATATTTAGCTTTATTCTCATATTCAACTTCTGAAACAGAAATTTGTTGTATATGTATGTCAATAAAAGTTATAATATAATATGCTGTACAGCATGATAACAAACACATTTTGGAAAGGTTGCCACCCAAAGAAGCGAAAATTATGCTAATCAATGTGTATATTGTATTGTTAAAATTGATAGTCATCAATCACCATTAAATTGCCACTTGATGCCACTTCTGTCGCAAGAATCTTGGCAGTCAGACAATATATTTAAATGGATGGAATTTACTGAATGTTTTATACATGATTTAAAGAAATTGATACAAAAATAGTCAATTCAGATTATCATTCCTGGTTCATTTTAGTAATACATACAAATCAGAAGATAAAGATTTCTCCCTATAGTGTGCGCCAAAACTCCAGAAAATCCCATTAACTGATGTTGAGGTAGGTTACTATGATTTGACCCATAGTCATTATAGATTGGTTCATCGACTATTCATTTTTACTTGTCTGCACTCAAAAAAGTGACACGAAAGGGCTAAACGGTTTGCCCCAAGGTGCAACTGTCAAAAAAATGAGTTTGACAAAAATCTTTTTTTTCAAATAATAGCAGCGAGTATATGAAATAGGAGACAAATTTGATATTGATATGTATGATAGTCCATTTGGGTGTGGTCATTTTTATTAAAAACAATAATATTGAAGAATTATACATTTCTGACCTTAAAATGCCATTTTAATGAAAAAGTCACGGTTGCTATCAATTATATTCCTATTTTACCTATTCAATGTTTTCTATATATTACACTTACCATTATATTCATTTTTGGCAAAGTAAATGATAATGGGGCTCACACAAGGATCCACTTTATTTACAACTTTTTCATATTTAGTGATGTTTGAAAAATTACTACGTTTAACAGAAAATGATTTGTTAAATGTTAAACAAAATAATGATTATGTGTTTGTTTCGTTGTTTCAACTGAAAAATCACAATTCATTGCTCTTGATCTTAGAGCGGCAGGGCATATACCAGTATGACCAATCTTCAATACAGTTGATCCTTGTGTGATCCCTACTATTATTTACTTTGCCAAAAATTAATATAATGGTTATTCAGATATATGAAAATCATTTGATAGTCAAAATAAGAATAATATAATTGACTTTTGAATAAAAAGCATTATATATTCAGAAGTACCAAATTTGTACCATAATTGTTTTTAAGAGAATAACCATACCCTAATGGACTATCTCTGCAAATCAATAACTAAATTTTGCGAAATTAAATTTGCTTTAAATTTTCATTTTTGAAAACGCACCTGCTTATACTTATTCAATTTAGAACCACAACAGAAAGTAACTCTTTCATGAAAAACTTCGTCAGCTTGACGGAAGATTACTGAGTGCAGTCATTAATATGACCTCATATTTGGATAACCTCTCTTCTGTTATAATTTTACTTCAAATTGGCAAAGGAGCAGGGAAAGTATCGCAACAGACTTTTGATAATTTTGACAGTTGATAATTTTTTTGTGAGTAGTTTCTGGCTATAAAAAGTAAATGCTTGGGAAAGGCGAATCTATAATCTTCAAGAAAAGTTCAAAGAATAGTTTCCAGATCAATTGGATTATCTTATAATCCATGTTTAATCCACCCATCAACAAGCTTTTTCAAAATACATTCGTCATTTTCACTATTGTCCCTCATTTTTTTTACAATTTTTCATGCAAAGTTACATTGTACTTGAACACATGTTTCATCAAGTAAAATATGTAAGGAACTCCATGAAGTTTGTTTTTGAGTTTTTTTTGAAAAAATGAACCTCTTAAAATGCATGTTTACAAAAATAATTTAGGAGTGATGTAAAAGATGGCAATGTTTTTCAATAATAACATGCATAGGTGGGTGAATTACTCATGTGTGTTGTGTTTTAATCCTGCATTCACTGACTGAGTTAGCCTATTGAAAAATCGTAGAGATTAATAATACAAACAGTAATACTATGAATACTTCTACTTCAAGCTCAAATAGCGCTTTCAGGGTCCTGTGTTGAAATACTAGATCACCTTATGTGCATGAATTTTCAAGAGAAACCATCAGTGCAAGCAATTAAATGAAAGCATCATCCGAACATCACTTGAAAAGTACTAAAGTGGTGAAAAATTGCAGGATGTTGACAGAAAATGTGCCTAGGGGAGAGGGTCGTCTCTCAACCCCCTCCACCCCCTCCCTGATCACGGGACTAATACATGTGATATGGCAAAGTCCAATTCATAGATTAAGTTTCCCTTGCAGTCTTGTTGGCATTTTTATTAGAGTTCATGTTTTGTTTATGTTAATGGGTGAGTGGAAGACCCTTGGGTGGGAATCAAATATAAAATGTTTTCTAAAATATATATTTGAAATACTTTGTGTATGTACAGTCACAAACTCTAGGCAACATTAACTAGTAATGGGGCAACACCCCAACTCAACTGAGTGAATGTGTAAACCATTTAAGGAACAAAAAACATTACATAAAACAAACTCAGCATGCAAACATGTAAAACTGGCATGGCAAAACAATAGATAGTGAAACTGAATAATAAAAGCACATACGACTAGAAAACAAGGGATTAATGAACACTGGTGTAAAGTAATGAAGGGACCTGTTAAAATGACATGAATGGGGATTGGTCAATTTGAATAGTAGAAATATAAAAAATGTGAAAATTAGCCAGGTAGAGGGGGAGAGATAAAGGGAGCTGCTGCTCCCCCAAGAGATTCTTTCAAAATGATGCAGTTTCTCACCAATCTGAGCACTTCGCATGATTTTTTAGCCAAAACTGTCAAAAAGTTCATCCCTAGGCAAAAGCTTTGCCCTTGGTAAAACTGCTCCTACCCCTTGGTAAAAGCTGGCTACAGACTGTGTAAAACACTTGTGTGAGAACTTGAACATGAACGAGTTCTGTTATGACCCCCAGTAATGTTGTCCATCTCTCAACTGGTTTAACTGGGGACCATTACATCAATTGGCATTATATCAATCAGGCAACAAAAAGAGGCCAGTGATGTGAAAATAGTCAATAGCACGGTGTTATAGCATGACGGTTACGCCACCTCTGAAAACGAGGTTGGACAGCTACGTTCACTAATTTATCCAATAAAATGGCCGCGATGGAAGAGAAAACTAAGGTTGGCGCATTATTTTCTATTTCTGTGTATCAATGAAAGGATGAACGATTTATGTAAAAATCGCATTCGGTGATACTTTCAGTAATGTATATTTTGAACGTAGCCTTTGCAAATTGATGCCCGGGGATAACATGAAAAAGGAGAAAAACTGTCGAGTTTGAAATTCAAAACTACACAAAAATTTAGTAATTTGTTTATTTTTGTTTTTGTTGTTAGGGCATGGTCTACATTGCCTAAAAACCTTGTGGTATATAGATGTAACCTACATACGATCATGCAAAGCCAATTGAGCATTGGAAACCACCTATGTTCTACTCAAGCCATAATAATGTAATTTGAATTTGCAGTAGTTATACACAGTTTACTTATACTTACAGTTAATATTTTGAGTGGCTCATGTACTGAGACAACACGAGAATGGACCAAATATTATAAACTTTGATATCTCAGTTGGTAGGTTTACAGATTATATTCTGTTTCTTGTAGACCACCTGGCAGATTTGACCCAGTCTTTATAACCATCCATATATACGTCACCGAATGGAACTAGTTTAAAAGGAAATCTTATCTGTGAATATTTCCTACAGGCGAGAAAGAGGACATGCTGCCTTTCCCATCCGCCATTTTTTGTTATCGTTACCGCAAAATTTTGCAAATCGCCTTGACCTAACCATAATGCTATAACACCGTGAATAGGGGACCATAAGTTTACACATTCCATGTGTACGTTCATCAAAATAGTGCGATCTTAACCTCCCTAATAACTGAAATTGTTGACTCAACCAATAGAATCATTCTATGTTTGTTTATGTTTGTTCACATTAATATGGAAGAAAATCGGACATTTTACTAAAAAGATGTTATTGTAAATCTTAGAAATAATGATAAAGGTAGTATACACCACACACTCAATGGTATTGATTGTGGTTTTCAGAGACTCTCAATAGGGACTTTAAGCTTGCAATGTTTTTCACAACCTAAATGTGAATGGAAAATATTTAGCGATGCATTTGTATGGGCGATTGGTCATAGGTTGGCGTTTCGATTTTATATGCAAGCTTAATCTCCCTAATGTTAACATTAAGGTAAGAGTGTATGTTACTCATAACATTTTCTTAGGATAACATTTCTTGAATTGATGAATATGCAAAAATTATTCTTAGCATATCATCCTTCATTTCATTATTTGAATAATCAATCTGGAGATAAACTCAAATAAGGAAGTGTGTTATAAAACATCATCATATATGTTCAATGTTTTTTCAGAAGCTGGATCAAAATATTTGTCTTACTAAAATTATTGGCAAAGGTATGATGTACTAAATTCTTGTACTGTATTTATGATTTTAATAGCACTGTACCTCGTGAATCATTACTGATAAACAAGATACAGAAAACCTGTTCAAAGTAAATGCTATAATAAGGCATCATAGAAATTATCATAAAGAGAGGTATTTAGAATTTCTTAGCAACTTATAAATAACTAGATTTGTAAATTGAACAAAGTTCAATTTAAGACTCCAGATTGATTTACTTGAGTAAAGAGCTGAGTAAGTAACTGAGTAGGAAGCTGAGTAAGTAGATGATTAAGTAATTGAGTAAGTAGCTGAGTAGGTAGCTGAGTAAGCAGCTGAGCAGGTAGCTGAGTAAGTAGCTGAGTAGGTAGCTGAGTAAGTAGCTGAGTAGGTAGCTGAGTAGGTAGCTAAGTAGGTAGCCGAGTAGGTAAGTAGGTAGGTAAGTAGGAATTTTTGACCGGAAGTCGGATTGAAATTTGGTTTGCAGATTTGGACTCCTGAGAAAATTCTACCCTTAATTCATAACTCATTTTATTTTGACCTACTTTACGGACACCATATCTCAAAAGTG